GGCTCCTCTGGCTCTGGCTCCTCTGGCTCCTCTGGCTCCTCTGGCTCCTCTGGCTCCTCTGGCTCCTCGTGGGTTTGGTGAAGATGCTGCTCTCACTGCTCGGTCTGTGGCTCCTCTCAGGTACGGACACTTTCAGCTTCTATTTCACGCTTGAATCGTTTTTAAAGCCTCTCTGTGGAACCTGTCTCCATAGTCTGTGTAGCTCTCTCTGTTCTCAGATGTTCTGTGTGTCAGATGCCCTCTCAGATGTTCTGGTGTGTCTGATGCCCTCTCAGATGTTCTGGTGTGTCTGATGCCCTCAGATGTTCAGTGCCCTCAGATGTTCTGTGTGTCAGTGTCCTCTCGTGTGATGCCCTCTCAGATGTTCTGGTGTGTGTCAGGTGCCCTCTCAGATGTTCTTGTGTGTCAATCCTCTCAGATGTCTGTGTCAGTGCCCTCTCAGAGATGTTTCTGTGTGTGTCAGATGCCCTCTCAGATGTTCTGGTGTGTGTCAGATGCCTCTCAGTCATGCCTCTCAGATGTTCTTGTGTGTGTCAGATGCCCTCTCAGATGTTCTTGTGTGTCAGATGCCCTCTCAGATGTTCTGGTGTGTGTCAGATGCCCTCTCAGATGTTCTTGTGTGTGTCAGATGCCCTCTCAGATGTTCTGGTGTGTCAGATGCCCTCTCAGATGTTCTGGTGTGTGTCAGATGCCCTCTCAGATGTTCTGTGTGTGTCAGATGCCCTCTCAGATGTTCTGGTGTGTCAGATGCCCTCTCAGATGTTCTGGTGTGTCAGGTGCCCTCTCAGATGTTCTTGTGTGTCAGATGCCCTCTCAGATGTTCTCGTGTGTCAGATGCCCTCTCAGATGTTCTTGTGTGTCAGATGCCCTCTCAGATGTTCTGGTGTGTCAGATGCCCTCTCAGATGTTCTCGTGTGTCAGATGCCCTCTCAGATGTCTGTCTGTGTGTCAGATGCCCTCTCAGATGTTCTGTGTGCCCTCTCATGTTCTGATGCCCTCTCAGATGTTCTGGTGTGTGTCAGATGCCCTCTCAGATGTTCTGGTGTGTCAGATGCCCTCTCAGATGTTCTTGTGTGTCAGATGCCCTCTCAGATGTTCTGGTGTGTGTCAGATGCCCTCTCAGATGTCTGTGTGTGTCAGATGCCCTCTCAGATGTTCTCGTGTGTCAGATGCCCTCTCAGATGTTCTGGTGTGTGTCAGATGCCCTCTCAGATGTTCTGTGTGTGTCAGATGCCCTCTCAGATGTTCTGGTGTGTGTCAGATGCCCTCTCAGATGTTCTGGTGTGTGTCAGATGCCCTCTCAGATGTTCTGGTGTGTGTCAGGTGCCCTCTCAGATGTTCTGGTGTGTGTCAGGTGCCCTCTCAGATGTTCTGGTGTGTCTGATGCCCTCTCAGATGTTCTGGTGTGTGTCAGATGCCCTCTCAGATGTTCTTGTGTGTGTCAGATGCCCTCTCAGATGTTCTGGTGTGTGTCAGATGCCCTCTCAGATGTTCTGGTGTGTGTCAGATGCCCTCTCAGATGTTCTTGTGTGTGTCAGATGCCCTCTCAGATGTTCTGGGGTGTGTCTGATGCCCTCTCAGATGTTCTTGTGTGTCAGATGCCCTCTCAGATGTTCTGGTGTGTGTCAGATGCCCTCTCAGATGTTCTGGTGTGTGTCAGATGCCCTCTCAGATGTTTTGTGTGTCAGTGCCCTCTCAGATGTTCTGTGTGTCAGATGCCCTCTCAGATGTTCTGTGTGTGTCAGAGTCAGATGCCCTCTCAGATGTTCTGGTGTGTGTCTGATGCCCTCTCAGATGTTCTTGTGTGTCAGATGCCCTCTCAGATGTTCTTGTGTGTGTCAGATGCCCTCTCAGATGTTCTGGTGTGTGTCAGATGCCCTCTCAGATGTTCTGGTGTGTCAGATGCCCTCTCAGATGTTCTTGTGTGTCAGATGCCCTCTCAGATGTTCTGGTGTGTCAGATGCCCTCTCAGATGTTCTGGTGTGTGTCAGATGCCCTCTCAGATGTTCTGGTGTGTGTCTGATGCCCTCTCAGATGTTCTCGTGTGTCTGATGCCCTCTCAGATGTTCTTGTGTGTCTGATGCCCTCTCAGATGTTCTGGTGTGTGTCAGATGCCCTCTCAGATGTTCTCGTGTGTGTCAGATGCCCTCTCAGATGTTCTTGTGTGTGTCAGATGCCCTCTCAGATGTTCTGGTGTGTGTCTGATGCCCTCTCAGATGTTCTGTGTGTGTCAGATGCCCTCTCAGATGTTCTGGTGTGTGTCAGATGCCCTCTCAGATGCTGTGTTGGTGGAGCTGGAGTGTGAGGATGGGGTTTGTCACTGGTGAAGATGTTCTGAGAGGTTCTGTGTGTTCTGTTTCTTTGTCCAGGAGCCGCTGTTCCTCAGGAGAATTACTCGGTTCCTCTGGAGACCCACACTGTTCCTCAGGAGGATGACCTGGTTAATCAGGAGAAGTGCTCGTACCTGGCGATCATCAAACATCTGGGTCTGACCTCCAGA